CTTTATAAAGCCCGAGGGGGGAGGGGACCAGAACGGACAAAGAGTCCTCTTGCATCTAGCAGTGGAAGCAATCTCTTTCCAGTTTCTTAGCAAGTCATCCATAGGACAATCTGAAAACAACTCCAAAGATTTTAGCCAGTGGACAACTCTTAAAAGGATTTGATCTAACATATCGCTGCCCTAATACACCTCCACATAGTCTTCCCTCGCTTCTTAGGCCAACTGAAAAAAGAAGGATTACAGAGGTGCGGCTTCTATATAGGAGTGGTTTAAACAACTCCCACCAGTTGTAGTTGGGGTCTTTTAGTGATCAAGAAGGAAAGGAACTGGGCAAGCATGCTGCACTCTCACTCAGGATGACTGGGTGATGGATTTGCAGGGGAACCATTCAACCTTATTAGCAAATCCAATTGAAGGAACAAATCTAGTGTTGACTCAGACCGGGGCAAGCATGCTGCACTCTCACTCAGACAGGGCTGAATCAAATGGAGAGGGGAACCTTATTGCTGGAACAGGGAAACAATACCTCTTTGCCTATTATGCAAGCTCCTTCACACTCGGGTAGTCTCTGTAACTATGATGGTTAGTTTTGAGTACTGATTCCCCTTCCGTTGCCTTTGCAACTTACCATCTCCCATCGTTGTTCCTGGCATGCCTGCAGTTGTTCCTAAAGGGGGAGTGGATGGTGAAAGGGGAAATTCTGTAGGGGGTGTGTACCAAGAATTAGAGCTTTCCAAGACAATACAAGGGATTGGTGCGGAAAATAAAGGCCATTCTGGAAATGTTGGAAAGGGTAGGGAAGAAGTGAATCCACTGGAAATTCAGCTTCAAAGGGGTGTCAGCATGGAGAAGGAACCAAGTGTCTCAAATAATGGAAAGGAAAAAGAAATATGCCCTGATCAAGTAGGATGAGTAGGGGTTTCCAGATTGAAGATGACCCTGTGATTGATCTAGCAGTGGAAATGGGGCTAAAGGTGGATAATGCCAAGGAGCCAGAACCTACACCTAAGGTAGGTAAAGGGAAGGGGGAGGGGATGGGGAAGAAAGAAGGGAGGCATGTAGGTAGCCAGGGGTTGGGGATAAACATCAATTGAGATTATGAAGATCATTAGTTGGAATGTGAGGGGTTTAGGGAGTGCCACGAAGAGAAGAGTAATCATGGAATTGTTGAGGAAAGAAAAACCTGATTTAGTGCTGATTTAGGAGTCCAAAATCTAGGAGGTTGATAGCAAATGGATCAGAGGCTTTTGGGGAGAGAGGAAAATTAGGTGGAGCTTTGCCCCATCGTGGGGAGCTTAGGGGGCATCATAACAATCTGGAGAGATGAAACCGTGCAGTGCATCAAAGAGCTGGTGGGTAAACCCTTACAGAGAAAGAAATCTGTTTTGGGATGAGTTAGCAGACATCATAGGACTGTGGGAAGGACCGTGGTGTCTAGGGGGAGATTTTAACATAATTAGGTTTGTGGAAGAATCAAATGGGTGTAGGAGAAGGGCCACTACAAGCCTGAGAAAATTTTATGAGTTCATAGAGGCCTTTGAATTGAAAGATTTCTCTCTGGGGCAATTGAGATTTACTTTTTCCAATCTTTAGGCTAATCTGATATGTTCTAAACTCAACAGGTTTTTAGTGTCACAAGATTGGGAAGAGCATTGGGCAGACTTGCTAGGAAGAACTTTGCCTAGAATTACTTCAAACCATTGGCCGATATGCTTGTTTTAGAGGAAACCCGATGGAGGTATGATCCCTTTTAGATTTGAAAACATGTGGCTCACCCATCTGGAGTTGTTTAATAGGGTAAAGGAGTGGTGGGCTTCTCAGTTATAGCTTCCAAGATGGGAAGGCCAAAAGTTCTTGAAGAAGTTGCAGGTGCTCAAAGAGAAAACAAAAGAGTGGGATAAACGGAAATTCGGGAGACTGGAAGAAAAGGAAGCCAGTTTGATCTCTCAAATTGAGGAATTTGACAGGAAGGAGGTGGATGGTCCCATACCTGATAGTGACAGAGGTTTGAGGTGACCTTTGAAGAAGGGTTTAGTGGCTACCCTCTTAAGAGAGGAAATTTGTTGGAAACAAAAATCTAGAGAAAGATGGATTAAGAAGGAGATCGGAATACAAGATATTTTCATAGCATTGTGAAAGGCAAGAGGAGGAAGAGTGAAATTACTTCATTATGTGTGGGGACACTGAGATCACAGATCAAAGTGAGATAGCCAAAACATTTGTGAATCATTTTAGAGCAATCTTTCAAAGACCATTTAATGAGAGATGGTCAATTGAAGGTCTAGAATGGGAGGTGTTGAGAGAAGATCAAGTGGAGCTCCTGGAAAAAAGATTTGAGGAGGGGGAAATTAAGGAAGCAATTTTCTCAATGGACATATCTAAAGCTCTGGGTCCCGATGATTTTACATTGGCTTTCTATCAAGATTGTTGGGAGTTAATCCAAGCTGATTTGGCCAGAGTGCTCAATGAATTCCATAGTTGGGGTCAAATTAGCTTGGGAATGAACTCCACTTTCATAGCTTTGGTCCCTAAGAAACCAGGTGCCATCTATCCAAGGGATTTCCGACCTATCAGCCTAGTAACCAACATATACAAAACATTGCCAAGGTCTTATCCCTTAGGGTGAAAAAGGTACTCCCATCTCTGATTTCTTAGTTTCAAGGGGCCCTTCATTTAAGATAGTCAAATTGTGGATCAGATTTTAATTGCTAATGAGTATGTTGAGGCCCAAAAGAGATTAAGAAAGAAGGGAATTGTGGTTAAGTTGGAATTGGAG